TATAAAATATAACTATAAAATAAAAAATTTTCTGAACAGTCCACCAATTAATTTGCGTGTCTTTAACCACCTACTCACTTAAAGGTTAAAGAAATCGATTAAAATTCTTCAAGAAGACTTTGTTCTCATTTGCATTTGATTATAACTTTCTGAAACTTAAATAATTTTTAATCCTTTGCGATGTCTAAACTGTTTCTAAAAAAACGAAATTAGATATTATTAGGTATTATCAGCGTTTTTAATCTCATCGACTGATTTAGTACACGAATTAAGGAATTTTTATTACTTGGAGAAATTTATGCAGATCCTAAAAATATAATTTACCGATTATAATAGCATATGAATGCACAATAGATTACCATAACGCGTTATGTTGAGGCAAACTCATAAGATCACAAAGAGTCTTTCTATACTTTGTCTAATTCACGATTGTGCCATATACTTAAGATTACGTTTACATGAAATTTTTACGTATAGATACGTTAAATCTACATGAATCTTTTTCATATATAGGCAATACAAATAATATAAAATATTCAAATTATTATAAATAGGATAACACAATACAGAAAGAAGTTTTTTAGTACGCGAAAATATATTCGAACCGTGTCTCACTCGAGCTGAGATGTGACGGTCGCGGAAACGTCGCTGTAATAAAGGCCCGTCTACAATACACGGAGTAAGAAATTGACCAATCACAGTCGATTATTCTTCTCACATTCGACTGTGATTGGTCAATTTCTTACTCTTATTTCTTACTCCGTGTATTGTAGACGGGCCTTAAGGGCACGTTCACACCTTGGCGGAAAAGCAGCAGCCAATCAGAACTCGTGCTAGTAGTCGACAATTTCGGTTTTTTGTACTACTTACTGCCAGCGCGAGTTCTGATTGACCCCTGCTTTTCCTCCCGTTAAGGTGTGAACGCGCCCTAAGATCACAGCGTGACCCCGACCGGCGATATACATCTCGCGTAAATATCTGCTGCCGTCGTATATCTCCGTTAACACGCGGATCGTGAATCGCGTACCGGTCGGTTATCGGTCTCTCCCGGAGCTGCGCCTTCTCGCGCTGCGCCAAAGCGAGTTGAAACGAGTGAACTTTCCCAGCGGAGAGAACAGAGAGGGAAACGCCGAACTGCCGATGCCGATGCCGTGGCGCCGCACCGGCACGACGGTCTTGGTATCGGCGACCAACGGTCCCATTTTTAGCGGCTGAATTAGAAAGTGCGAGGACAGAGAACCTATATTTACGGTGTATACCGACTAAGCTGTGCAAGATCAAATCGCTAGTCGTTGTCGCGAACCGACGTTAGATTCTAGGCGAAGTAATTTCACTTCCAGGAAATTTTTATTCGGAACTTAATCGACCGTCGCGTGGATTGTTAGACGAAGACCGATTGTCGATTCTCACGATTAATCTTCCGGAGCTGACGTCAAAATCTATAACACAGTTAATGATGTTTACTCTAAAAAATATAGGTGTAGATTTAACACTCAATTCTCATCGTGTCAAGATACCAACATGATGTGGATTTGACATGAGTTTTAAATCATGATGTTAAATTCACACCATGTTAAAATATAAGTGTGGACAACACCATGCGGTATTTATATAATTCTTATCGTATAATTAATGTTGGTACAAACATCAACATAGTGTGTTGACTTAACCATAAAAATTTTAAACCATATGTCAAATCCTCATTATGTCAGTGTTTATATTAACATGAAAATTACATAAACATCGTATGATTTTTATCCCATTCACATCCCATTTCTTATAATGTGACTCTCTGAAACCTATTTATGTTAATTAAAAGGCATTAATTAATTTCAAGGAACCAGAATGGCAATTCGTATTAAAAAGAATTAATATATTTAATAATAAATATATTTTAACAATCAAAAATTTCGTGTAACATGAAGAAAATTGAATTGTTTCATATATCAGATAAGAGCTTTTCGAGCTCGGCTTGTATTTGTGTGTCGTGACAATGTATTATTAATATCAAATGTTACATCAATATAATATAATTTCAAACGTTTCGACTCTTAACGTAGTCCTTCTCAATGAATAAATTTAATAATGAATGAATTGTTTGACATTTTTGTTAGAGATATAATTGAGTGGTTTCACCAAATTGTTATAACTCCGAAGGGTTAAATATTCGTGAGGCTTGGTACCGTATTCGAATTGTACGAGGGCTCGGCCCATCGGATTATTCCGAAGCGTACACGTGTCCAAAACACGCATAGAGACCCTACCAGAGAAGCTTCGAGAAACTGCCATTGTTATGCCGAAGCGGTGGGGACGAGGAGAAATGTACGAAGGGGGGAATTATTCCCGTCTTCATTTAGCCTCCGGCTAAATCGATTGCGCTTCCCATCTCCGCTGGGCACAAAAGTTCGGTCCTCCTCTGTAATCGTGGCACCCCTGTGGAATCCCGGGATTTTCCCCTCTCCCTTGCGTGTATTATTACACAGGGGTAGTACCCCATATTCGAGATATTCGAGAGCCAGAGGGAACGTTCGGCCAGAAAGGGATGATGAAACAGCAATTCTCAATAATATTTCTCTCCCGCTTAATTATTATCCTATCATTTTAATTTACGATTTACCACGATATTTAAGCCTCTAGTTTTGGTCGAGATAGCGCAGACCGAATTACGTGATCGTCACATAAAAACGTATTAAATGACGTCGGTAATTTTACGATGCGTTGGAAATAGCTAGGGATACGTCAACATCTATCAGGTGATAATTATAACGATACGCGAACATTATTTTAAACCATCGACTAATGAGAGTATGGTTATTCATAAAAGCGATGTATCTCGATGAATGCAAAGCTCCCCTGGTTACGCAGCGTGGGACTCTTTTTCATAGCAGTTCCATTTATCCCTTTTTTTTTTTCAACGAACTTCGAACCGCGTCGACATCCAATGTCGATTACGGCGCACGACGTATACGCACTCATGACAGTACAAAAAGCAATTAAGGTAGAACGCAATATGCACAATAAGCGAAGGAAATTACTTAATAATAAATCCTCGCTATGTATATACGAAAAGAATGGCTTTTTGAAGCATGTAAACATTTAGTTAGATGTGTAAATTGTGTAAATAATTATGTCGGATCATCAAAATATGTATATATTAGATGTTTAAACTGAGATTGCTAAAATGTTAAAATTTGTAGGCTTTGTCTTACATATACTTCACGTCAAAAGTTCGGAAATGCTTAAAAAATTGACCTTTTTGGAATTACTTATTTAAATATCTGTAACAAAATGTATTTTTTTAAAATAATAATTTTGTAAATTCAATAACGGCAATAACTATTATTGGATTTGAAGAATTATTGTTAAAAAACACATTGTTATGAATATTTAAGTAGATGAGTAATCTCAAAATATCAATTTTTAAAAAGCATTTCCAAACTTTTGGCCTGGAGTGTAATTATTTTGATGGTCCAACATAATTATTTTCAGATTTGTATTTAGCTACTTGTAATTAGATATTTTAGCAAATACTTCAAATATTTCAGTAAAACCGTTTCTTTTTTTGTGTACCATATTAATTTTGTTATTAATTCCTATTGTACATTTATTACAACATGTGTGATAGATTTAAAAACGTTATACATCCGGTGATGAAAATTATCGTTAGTGTGGTAACGAGCGGTGAACTCTCGAGAGAATGACTAACAGTCGCGTCGCGATGATACCGCAGGCGTCGATAAGCTTGCAATAATAATAAACGACGATAACACGAAACGCGAGTCCGTCACGTGTGGTAGGCCACGATCACTTTGCCCGCAAATAAACATTCTTGTTGCGCAACCACGTCTTTAGAGATGCCCCGTTTTACGACGTACATGCATATTCACGCTGAAAAATTGCTTTACCGCTATTTTTAGATCGCACCGTCTTTGTCTCGTCATTGGGTCAGGTCTTCGTTCATGTTAATCATGTGAAAAATAGGCGAATTAGATTAACAGTAGTTTCAAGTTGTCCGCACTTGTGAAATATGAGCTTATTCATGTCCATTAATGGAAATCCGTTAAATCCGTTAATGAAAGTTTCCATATGGAAAGGACGGTTTTGCTGAAACATCTTGAAAATTTAGCTAGATACAGATCTGAAAATAATATTTCATTGGATCATCAAAATAATTATAAAGGACATCAAACTGATGGTTAGAATGTTAAAATTTGTTGCCTCATTGCTCATTAAGGTTTTTACGTGAATTATTTTTACACTAAAAGAATGATAAAAATTTAGCTAGATAGAAATTTAAAAATAGTTTTATTGGATCATGAAAATTATTATGGAAGACGTCAAACTGATTACTAGAACGTCAAAACTTTTTGTTCGTCACGCTTGTTTCCTGTATAATTATTTTTGTTCAACAAAATTATCTGTATCTGGTTAAAGTTTCATACGAAAAGAACGATTTTGCTGAAGTATCTCTAAAACTTTTAGTTAGAGTTTTAAAAATAATTTTGTTTGGATCATTAAAATAATTATGTAGGACTGTAGTGGGACGTTCAAACTGATGGAATGCTAAAACTTTCCGCAGTATCGTTCACCGTGCTAAAGTTTCCTACATAATCATTCTAACATTCGAACAAAATTATTTTCAGATCTCTATATCTAATTAAATTTTTGGAAACTTGAACAAAATCGTTATTTTTTTTCGTACATTAAAATCCATCTGCGGAAAAAATATGGTATTGATCAACGAATTGACGATATTTAATAATGAACAATGATATGTTTCAGGCGATGGGACTTGCCGGGATGTAGCCTCGACGGGGGAGTCTATGAGCGCGGTGCAGGCCCGTCAGGAGGAGGCGAGACGCAAGAGGCGCAGGAAGAGACGCTCCGGCTCCTCTGTGGTGTCCTCCTGCTTCCAAGGTAAATTCGCACATATCGGCGCTAAAACATAAGAGAGGGTGTTAAGAACGTCGGTGTTGTCACGCGAAGAAATTGCGCGACAGTCCGGATTCTGTCGCAATTAAGATCCACTTTGATAAAGGCATTTATCTTCTATTTGTTGTTTAATGCCTCCCCCCCCCGGTAGGGGAAGAGAGAGAATATTAAACAAAGAATTTCTTGGGACCCTGTGTAAATATGATTACACAACAAATAGAGAATAAATGCCTTTAACTATCAAGGTGGATCTTAATTACTTAAATAATTCGATGTGAATTTATATACTACATATGTAATCATTTAAATTGCTCGTAGAAGGAAACGAGATAGAATGGAGAGGAGAGGAAGTGAGAAGGTGCGGCCATTCTCGATTTTTCGATATGAGACAACGCGGTGTATTATTCCGTATACCTACGCACCCCGCAGCTCTCTATCTATCTTACACCAGTGACTTGCAGTCCTTCTTCGTAGGACCTTGAACAAGTTCGGAACGCTCGAGAAACTCACGCGGGGCGATAATCGATCGCGCAGGCTGCCTGGAATTTTGCGCGCCGCTTGTTTATAAACACCGGAAGTTCGCTCTTACTCCTCCCTCGAGATGCCGGGTATCTCAAAGAGAATAGACCGAAGTAGAACAATGGCAGGATCCTCTTTCTTTTTCTCAGGAGAATCTTGAGTGGATTTCTTTTCTGCTGACGTGTCTATCATGCGCACGCCGTTCCATTTGTACTGTTGACGTAATCGGGTGAAGAAACGTCGGTATTTACGATCCTTGGAATAACTTACGCATAGAAGCGGTTTTTGCACCCCTAGCTGATAAACTGGTTGAGAGATGCGAAGGACGCGGGATTGGAATTAATCCGAGCTGGCTGCGCAGCTGGCATTGCTGGCAAATACGGTTATTCGGCCACGGAGCCGCTCGCTCGATCGATACGGCGCGCGGCCCACAGAGAGAGAGAGAGAGAGAGAGCCATGAATTCGTTGTACGTGTTTTCGGCGCGGCAGCTTCGCTTCGGTTCGTTCGACCCTCGAACTCGAGGACGTTTCATATTTTAGCATCGTAATTTGTAAATAATGTATTGTACAATTATTCATCAGCTATTGTTTGTTGGTTAATTGATCAATATTAATATCGTGACGCAGAATAATTAATCTTAACTGATTTATTCAATAATTAATTTTTTTAAGAGACTTAATTTGTTGGAATATTCCTTTTCGTTTTTAATTTTGTTCGATGACTAGCGTGAATAAATATCTATATATAAATGATTAGAATTAAAGAAGTTAATGTTAGATATAGATTTTATTTTTGAAGTAATACATTGTACGGAAGTAATGTTATTAAAATACATACAAGAAAAATTATTGTTGAAATTGTTTACGAAACTCTTTGGAAATTTTATTTTTACTCTTGTCAGACGAGTGTACATTTATTTACGTTTCAGCAATTTGATGAAATGTAAATAAATATATATTTATCTTTGATGAAAAGAATATTAATGTGCAATCTATAACGTTTCCTAAACTATTTCACTACTTTCGCACGTATGTTATTCTATTCTTTAAGAAATATTCATATAACTTTAATTTCTTTAATTTTGATAAATTATATTTTACATATTTCAAAATTTTTCGTACAATTATCTACACTGATGACCGCATGTCAACGAAGATATACGATTAAAAATTGGTCATTGTTACGCCATTAAGAAATATTGATCACTTTAAATAAACAAGAATCAAGTTCACAATCTCGGCCGGTTGCGTCATTCCACGTGATCGATTCGCGAGCTCGGCTCAGTTCGAGAAGCTTCCACTGCGCTCTGAAATCGTATATACCATCGGCATATACCACTAAAAGTCGACGAGACGCTTGGCCGAGAGTCCGCCGAACTTGTACACGAAAAGGGTGCTTTCCCTTTAGTGACACAAATCGAAACAAATGTCATTCTATTTTTGTTCCCCATTGAAACACCGACAAAGATAGAAGATATTTGTGTCACTAATGTCTGTTTCTACCAATGTAATTTAATTTTAATCTCGGTTCAACTAACTCTTCATTTTTCCCGATTCTAAGAATTAGAAAAAGATATGACTATATGAGTAAGTTAAATTGAGATTAAAGTTGGTAGAAACGGACATAAGTGGGAAACACTCAATACGTCATTGGACATCACCTAAATTGTCATTGGATATCTACCTGCGAATCGTCAGTTAAAAAAATCGTTATCAGGCATTTTCAATTTCCTTCCAAAGACGTTTTGCGATTGCGTTATCGTCCTTAGTTTGCGATATTATTGTTCTCGAGTCGCTAATTGCGAGTGGGTCGATGATCGCGCAATTTTCGAGACGCTATTTTCGAGAGGGTCGCTGTTAAAATTGGCGCAGAACGACGTAGAGAGACGTGGAGGCATATTATCGGCTTCTGGTTGCTAGGCGCTGAGCGACGCTGCCATGCGCGAGTTTCTGACGTATAATATCGGAGCGATAGGGGGATAGGTGGGATAGGTGGGAGGGACGCGGGCAAACAGAGTTTAACAGAGACGCGGTATAACGCTCGAGAAGCGGTAGGTAGGGATGGACCAGGGAGAGACGCGCGAGGTAGCCTGGCTCGACGTTGTTGGAGGAAAGGAGCCGGCGACGTAGCCTGGCGCGCGCGGACTTCCGAGAGAGAGGGAAAATTCGGTGTATGTGCGTCGTAGTTCCTCGCTACGATCTCGGCCACCCCCTCTCGACCTTGACATTGCTTGGTCGTTAGAGCAGGACTCACACACACGCACAATACACACATACATACACTCACACGCTGAACACCGCGCGTACGAGGTCCAAAGCCTGTTTAAACCGGAGATAATTAGGCCTTTTCGAGCGTAACAGGCAATCGCGATCAAACACGATATGCATCGTCAAAAAGGTCAACATGTGTGTATTCTTCCTTCGGTGATTCGCAAAGAGTCCGAGATACAAATATTCTGATATCCATCGCGACAAAATGTACACACAGAAAAGTATATACTGTGTACACGCAAGTAATAATTATTACTTATTTGAAAAACCCATTTAGTTCATTAATCAATTAATCTCTTCTTTGGATATGGACAAACAGATCCTTGGTTGATTCAATAAAATAACTTAGTTCGAACATCTGATAAACTTATTTTGTTAGAAACAAGTAAAATATTGCAATGACCAAATGTTTTGCTTCAACTAAATTATTTTATTGCATCATTCAAGGATTTGTTTGCCCAAACTGAAAATTAATTGATTCAACTAAATGGATTTCTCAGTGTTGTTTCAAGTATTAACAAAATTCATGTATTCGTAAATCTATCATTAAAAAAAAGTTTATCAAAAGCATCAAATTTATTCAATATATATTCTGAAAATCCTAGTAAGTTTAATTATACTTCAATCAAGACTATTAAAACAAATCCGACTTATTTTTATTATAAAAATCGCTTTTTCGATCAATTTTATAATATTCTTCAAAAGAAAATAATTTCTTGTTTTAATGAATACATAATGAGTTTAAAGTTTGTAATAAGTATATTTTAAGATTCTTATCAAGAAAGTATTCTTTAAAGATAATCGTTACTTAAAAGGAAGAAAATAAATAGAGTAATTACTTTTCTTAGCAATAGATATTTTTCTGCGTGAAGGCTACACTATAGTAGTACATACATTTGTGTATTTTTTTAATACATAGAAGAGTTTTTATTAATTAAAAATCATATGGTGAGTGGTATCATGATATCTTTTCAAACTTACAGTGTGGCATTATTGTCCTATCATATTTATAATAGTTCATCATTCTGAGGAAAGAATCCATTAAATCACCTTATTGAAATAAAATCCTATTGCCTCAATACACTTAGACTTGTGATGAACTTATAGATTTGTGGATATACGAACTTTTGAAATATTTGAAACAAGCCACTATTAGGCATACCGTATTTTTCTGTGTGTAGTAATAAAATTTGTCTTGCAGGGATTCCGGTTAGCGTGACCAATCGAACTGAAGGAAAAAAGGGTGTCTCGACTATTCTGTCGCCGATGACGCCGATCGCGTCGCGGAGGAAAAGCGTTTCTAACGCGCTGCTCTCGAGCGCTTCGATCGATTCGTTCTCGGTGTTAGGTCCCCTCTTGCCATTGCAATGACAACGCGATACGGTACGACGTAATCGCCAATCGCGCGTGCTCGTAGAGAGCGACGCGCAATTCCATGCCGAATGAAGTATCACGCGGTCTGTCGCATTGATTCATCGCGGTGAATCCATACGCTCGCGAATTCGAGAAGTTACGATGTCTTTTGCTTCGATGAATTTGAAAGTTTCGCAAGCCTTGGACGCATAAGTGTACGTTTGATTCCAGAAATGCCTTAACGTTGCCGTAAATATCTGAGCACTTAGTAGAGATGTTTGTACATCTCGAAATTATACGTCTGGCGAGCATTCGCAAATGTTTGAACGCGTAAAAGATTAGGTATAAGAATAAAAGGTTATTAGCGGATCACATAATAGTTTAATTAACAGATAAAAATATGGTTTTGGATTCTTTAATAATTTAATCTAGAGATGCAACGGATAATGATTTGTCAGATAACCGGATATCGGATCTTATCCGATAAAATATATACAGTCTTAACTATGAGTGTGAAACGTCCTCAAAATTTGACGTAAACATTTTATATCTGTGACGAAAAATAAATTAAAAATAGTTTTATTGAAAAATAATGTTTATTTTTTTTATAACTCTTTTAATATTTTTAATTCTCCTTTGGCTTTTATTACTGGCAGTTCATACTCTTTTTAGGAAATAAATTGAGAATGCTTAATTTATACTTACATCTAAGGCTATATTTTTATTTTATTCAGGAGTGCTAATATGAATAACAAAACATTCATGCGGATTACGACATTTGTACTAGATTAATAGATGTGTGAACTGTGTGAGAGTATGTAAGATGTGCAATGCGGAATCGTCGAGTACTTTTAGTTTTTCATTTTCCTCCATTCTTCTGTCGAAGAATATGATGTATCGATCAAAGAATTAGTTTAAAAAATTAGTATATAAAGAAGAACTGATGTTGCTGTTACAGAACTGTACAAATTGACTGGAGAAGTTCTTGGGGAGGGTGCCTACGCCTCGGTCCAGACCTGTACATCTCTTTACACGGACCTCGAATACGCTGTGAAGATCATCGACAAGATCCCCGGACACGCGCGTGCCCGGGTGTTTAAGGAAGTCGAAACGTTTCACCATTGCCAGGGCCATTCAAACATCATACAGTTAATCGAGTTCTTTGAGGACGAGGAAAAATTCTATCTTGTGTTTGAGAAGATCAACGGTGGCCAGCTATTGAACAGGATTCAGGAACGGATTCACTTCACTGAGAGGGAGGCGAGCCAGATTGTCAAAGAGATTGCGAGTGCACTCGACTTCCTTCATAAGAAAGGTAATTTCGACGAGACGAAATAATCGTACGAATTCATATAACTGATAAAAATCGATTAAAAAACCGATAAAAAAATAACCAATAATCTTTAGTATAATAATAAAAAATAACCAATAATA